GGACAATTTACAGGTAATTAAATTCCTTCTTGTATGAAATTTCATGACTCGAGTGGAAGAGTCGAAAACTGGTCAGGATAAAGTGCTCGAATGATAGAAAATTGAACCATTTTTCTTAATTTTTTTAAAGGAAATGTTACATCCGACGTTAAGATTCTTTTTTGCAGTTTACTTAGCTATCCTTTGGGAATACAAGGTAATTTTTTTATTCATTTTTATTAACTTTTAATGTTGTTATCACGGTGAAAGCTTAAAGTAAAAATTGCAAAATTTCGTCGTTTCTTTCGCAACTTTTTAATAAAAAAAGATATGATAAACTCGTTATAACAATTTGATTTTGGTACGGGCGAGAACTGTTAGTGTGTGGAACAACGTGTAAAAATTACAAAGCGATCGAAGGTATAGTTTCTGAGATTTTATCCGCGCCAGTTAAGAAAGTAACGTTTCGAGGGAAACGCATTTAAAGTCTGCAAGATCATACTGATCAATCTCTCAGCTTTATATAGAATTCCTTCCAAAATATTGTCACCTAGATGACAAAAACGCTAAAATTCAATTTCTAATAACAGGAGATGTCTCTTGACCCAGTCGTGAACCTTTCGAAACAGTAAAGGGTCTAGCCGAATAAGCATGGTAAAAGTGCCCCCAAACCAAACTGAACGGGGTTAATACCACTCGGTAGGTGGTTCGAAGAAAACCCTTTTCACAAAGTTTCAACCCGGTATCTCTACTACAGGGATAATTACGGGGTGAAAATCATTTTTTGGTTTATCCTTAATATCTCCAGTTCTGCTCAATTAAGCATTATGAAAAAAATCATGGTTATTCTACCGACTGATGTACATATTCGAGAATTTTTTCAGAATTTTAGAAGTAATGACTTCGGTAGTTACCGCGAGGGCTATGCAAAAAATGTTCTACAATCCACAATACTCGACATTTGTCTCTCAAAATTTAACAGTACATTCTTAAATGTGTATACTTTCAGAAAATGAAGCAAAACAAAAGATTGATATTTTTGAGGTCTCACACGAGACTCCCCACTTGAGTAGATCGTCAGATTCGTTCGAGGAACCGTATACCTGACAATGTCCTCAGCTGTCTTCGCGAACAATGATTGGAAAAGGCACGGTCTGCGGAGACCTGTGGGACCCGAGACGAGCGATTCCGCGGGGTTAGGGCCCCCCGATCGCCGCGAAGAAGCCTCAGCTGTTTGCCGATGGAAGCCGTAGGATGGTTTTTACGCTGTCTAGCTCGACCCGCGGCCCGTTCCGTCGTGCAACAGCGAGCAGAAACGCCGCCGGCTGTTACTGGATACAGTCGTGCATGGTAATACGCGGCTGATATGCTCCAACGGTAACATGGTAATACTTCGCGGTCGAGGGTGTACGGACTTCCACCGTGACCGAGCGAGAAATAAAGGTCGGACTAGGGGTAGCAGCGTACAGGAGGGGAAAAACGCGGAAGCGGGAAAAGAAACGAGAGGGTACGCGTGGATCGTGTTTCGAGGTCGGGACACGCTCGAAATGTGGCGGAACGGAACTGCGCGGTTCTCGGGATCCATAAGTATAAGGAAGATCTATCGGGGACCGGGGTTGGGGGAAATTTTATTACCGAACGACGAATAAAAATTTTAGATCCGTTCGTAAATCAACCAGAAAGTTCCGCCGGTTTTGGTAGTTTAGAAATAACGGCTCTTTGGAAACTTCGATGTTTCAGAGTAATTATTCGACTGGCCTGGATAAAATTCGTGAACTCGATCGTTTGCTCGATAGTTACCATCGATTACTTTCCAAATCAATGTAACTTCTACCGTTGGAAATATATCATCGATCTTCTCAATGCTAACACTGGAACTATCAAACCAGTCAAAATGATCTATTCTAATGAAACTTGTAAAAAATTTACTCGACTGAATTTTTGAAATCCTAATTTTCTATAAGAGAGAATTAACGAACATACCGTACATTTAACTTCCGTTAAAATTCGATAGTACCAAACGAAACGCCATTGATCCATCGATGATCAACGATGAAATTCCTCCCGGGGGAAGCGAATTTCTAACAACTAATCAACACGCCATTTGACTTCCCCGATAATTAAACATTCCACCGACCATCGGAATTAAAGAGTGTCGTTAATGTCGCCCGACGGAAGCCCGTTCGTCTTATCCCGGATCGCTCGGTACGAGAACAAGGGACTCTTTGTGAGATCGCGCCGCGAGCAGCCGACTAATCCTTCGTCCTCAGGTGAAACTCGCTTTCGGCATCGAGAGATCCGTTTCCCACGGTACGCGGCCAGGTAACCCGGAGCGTTTTCCCCGTAATGTGGGTCTCCGCGATACATCCCCCTCCCCCTCTCTCTTTCTCCTTCTCAGTTTGCCTCTAGCCTCTCCTCACCACCGCTCGATCGTCTCTTTTACCGAAGTTGGCCCGCGCCCGGCCCCGTGAAATCGCCAACGTCTTTTACGATTTCTCCGGGTCAGGTAGAAGGGAAGGATTACCGAGGAAGTTCCAGCGATCCACGTAACACCGCTGATGCATTCGCTGGCTGATCCAGGCGAATGGAATGCTAATACGAGGGGGGAGGGCTGAGATTCGCTGGCGCTGAACGGTGGACAGATATCCTTGGCTGTTTAGGTGGCTAGGTGGCGAGAACTAGGCTTTGCACTTTCGGTGCACACCGGTGATGCCCCCGGGGCAACGCTCAGCTACCATTACACCGACTTCTAGAGATAATAAAGACGCGATGCAACTCGACGCTTGAACTTTCCGCGGGGTTGACGCAACCGGCTACACGGTTTAGTTTCGATTAAGTTATTCCGCTCTGGCTCTGGTACACGTACGCGTGGCGATACTTGCAGCAGACTCGAATTAAATATTTTAATCCTGCACGTACGAATCGACGTGGTTTTACACTGGTCGAGGACGCAGGGGCAAACGGAACTTCCCCTCCATGTAGATATTTTAAATTCGAGCTACTTTGGAAATTAGCGACCAAAAGAAAACGGATTATTACACTATAGTCGATTATTGTATATTATATCGAGGGGGCCATCAATTTGACGGATGTTTGATTCCATATTTAAAATTGCAGAACGCGTAAATATTATTTTTTAACGACTTCTGTTGAATTTTATTGATGCAATCGCACGAATACATATTTGCAAGCAACCTTTAGGTTTGTAATGAATGAGTGCAGTTATGAGGGCATTGACGACTATGTGTGTGTGTTTCGCGTCAAGTATGCATTTAGAATTATGCATTTTATTAGTTAATCGTTTGTTAATAATAATTTAGTTAGTTACGTTCGAGTCAGCTTTCCGTGCAAACCATTTTATTAAGATATTAAAGGGAAAATATCTAAAATATCTTACATATTCTAATTAAAAAAAAGATCGTATTGTAAGGTAATCAACATGAAAGGTATCAATAAATGTAAGTGCGATCAATGCCCATAAATCTAGTGTTAAACATCTTTGTTAATTTTTAAAAATTCGGATAAAAATTTCGAGTATCAAATAAAAGGTAATATACAATTTTAAAGGTGTGATACGCGTTACGATTTCACTCGAACGGAAACCGTTAATTGGCTTTTATAATAATCGAGAGATTGTAACGTGCATGGACCATTTTAAATAAAATTTAAATTGGAGCTACACGACGAATTATATTGCACGAATTAAAATTGGTCCGTATACGTGCAACGTGTTTTCCATTTATTACACGACTAAAATTTTCTATTCCAAGGAAATAACGTTTGTCGCGAGCAATGTTTACCCGAAAAATTTCACCACGTTCGCTGTGACACGAGGTGTACATATTTTATTCTACTTTCGTTCCGTCCTAAGACAACATCCGTGCCCGTGAACCGTGACACCGTCAGAGACATTCTGTGGACCGATTTTTCCAATATCAACAGAGACACCAACGACCAAGCACGAAGTGTAAAAGTTTGAGGACCTAGATACTTGGTCAAACGTGAGAATGCAGTACAAAGTGTAATTGAAAAATCTACATTCGATTCGTATCGACAAAAATTGGTATCGAATGAAAATGTTTACCAAACGTCCAATTGCAAGGTAAAACCAAATCTGTTATTTGGTAACAATGATCCTTTACTCTGTCTCGAGAAAAAAAACGGTACCGCGTGAATTGCATTCCGATACTTAACACTTTGACGGCCGCTGTCACGTATACGTGAGTTCGCGAGCTAACAGACGTTGGCCACTGTCACGTGTGCGTGATCTACTGTATCAGTCACCATTTCATTCAACCTATTACATTTATAATTCCTTATAATAATATTCCTAGCATCCTCGTGTATCTCATTTTGGTCTACAATATCAGTGGTGACGGGCAACGGTCTTCGCGTGATACGTGCGGCCATTAAAGCGTTAACATGGACAAATTCTGTGGACCGATTTTTCCACTATCACCAAATACAAACGACCAAGCACGAAGTGTAAAAGTTTGAGGACCTAGATATTTAACCAAACGTGAGAATGCAGTAAAAAGCATAATTGAAGAATCTACAATATTGACAAAAATTTGTATCGAACAAAAATGTTTACCAAACGTCCAATTCCAAAGTAAAATCAGATCTCTTATTTCGACGACAATGATCCCTAACTCTCGAAACGGTCCCACGCGAATTGCACCCCGAACTCGACATCAAAGAGCACCTATTCTGGTAGCGTACCATAAAACAACACTCGTCGCTGGGTACGAATCAAGCCTCCCAATATCACTTACGACGAATGAGCCTCTCGCGGCTGAATGAATCTCAAACTAACAGTAATCGTTCGGTGGGTTTCCAGGGATCGATTTCGCGAGCGGTTCTTCGTACACCAAGTATCTGTTATGCAAATACCGCGGGCGGTGATACGCGCGCACAGGCGTGTTCGTACGTCTTTGACAACGGTTCGGTTGTCCGGCGTTGCATCCGATAAGAGGCGGCCGGAAATGCGCCGTGGAAGGTGAACACGTATGGGTACTTACGGACTGGTACTTTCTTGGGGTCGATGGCGGCGAGACGTTCCTCGACACTGTCGATCCTCGAGCGCAGACGGCTGCTACGATCAGCGACCGCGGTCAGATCGGCCGTTAGGTCCGCGAATATGTCCTCGGCGGTGGTGAGCAGGGACGCGAGTTGCTTGAGGGACGTGGTGAACGCGCCGTTCGCCACCGCCTCCAATTCGGCGCCCACCGGCCAACCCTGCGGCGCTGATCCCGCCGGCACGTGTCCGCGTCGCAAGTAGCGCGGTTCCACTTTTCGGAGCACAAACGGCATGATTTCACGGTATGGGGACCGACACCTTCGCACATAACACACGACCGAACGACGTACGCGCGAACTTTCGAACGGTTCTCGTGGGGCACGGGACAACACCGGTCTATCGTCACCACATCGCGCCAACCGGCGAAAGATCGTTCGCGATTACGTTTACGATTACGACGAACGACGAATTGCTCTCGATCGCGCACGAACATTCCACCAGGGCATTCCGCGACTCCATTCTTACGGTAACCATCTGAGAAATTTTCTATGGGAGGCACTGCACTTCCAACACACGGCAACGGTGTTCTTCACTTTGTGCTCGATGCCTCGATCGCATCGGGTCACATCCTCGGTACGACCGGCGAATATTTCACTCGACTCGATAAGCGACGTCTCTTAAACCGTTTGGTACGTGTTCTCGCGCGGTGTTCCGTTCGTGGATCTCATACTGTCACCTGCGTCGCGAATGAAAAATGCCCGCGTGAACGCACGGCCAAAACGTCCGCACGACGCGACGACGGTACGCGAAGTGCCGGCCGGCTTGCTGCCCTGTCGCCAAACCGTTGTTCGGTTATACTCCCATTCAATTCCGGCACGCTCAAGGCGCCCTTCGCGGCACTTCGAGCCAGCCATCTTCTGCGGGTTTTGTATACCTGCTTCGTGCTTCTGTGGCCGTTAAACGGCGGTAACGTCGAGATTCTTTCGTACCGATGGCTGTCAAAGAGACTACGCCGCAGACCATAGACGAGGTATAGAATAGACCACAGACGATGTATACGAGTAGACCTTTCAACCTTATGCACTTTCGTGGCCCGATCTGACTGCCATACCGGCCTGAAAAGTCGGAGGTGATCTTAGCGCCCTCATCTGGTGGATGGCGGTCAATTGAGGAACTATTCACTGAATTGGTTTTCTATTCTATTCTATATTTATTTTTTATTTTTTTGGGTGCGATACTAGCACTATCGGCTTTCTAATAACAGCATTTATCATCTACTTTTTAAATCCTCTATTTCCTACATCTCCTTTTCCCCTTCTTAACTCTTAAAATTAACCTTAATCTATTACAAAAGCTGAATTAATTTTGATAGGCAAACAGCTTTAGTGTTTGCATAAATACAACTTGGACTATAGAAGGGGTTAAAATTCATTTCTGAATCTGTTGGTAACGTTGCGAATGACACGAAAATGGTAATAGGGTTTCGAGACCCCATAAAAATGGGCCGAAAAAATACAGTGGGTGAGAGATCTGCTCGTATACCTCGTCTCTGATAATACTCTAGAATCTATTAATAAATCAATGAGAATCGAAACTAACTTAGTGAAGAAGCTCTATATTTATGATGACTTGATGATGATTTGCTAATATGATTTAGATTTTAATTAATAATTGCATTACCCAGCTATGAGTGACACGATTATTAATTAAACGCTAAATAATATCCAGGTCTCACCGTGTGGAGGTTGCTGTGAATGGAAACTCGCCCTAATCGAATCCCAACCACCCTCCATTAATAAAGATCTTTTGTGACCAGCGATCGTTGGTCGTAAAACAATAAACGAAACTATAAATAAGTAGAAGAGCAGTTTCTTTTGTACACCGGTCTTCGATTTGCTAACTTTAAGCAGTTTTCATTGGGCACTGATCTGCCATCTGGTAACACTGTTCATAAGTAACTAGATCAATCGAAACACTTCAATTTTCGAACCGTACCAACGTATAATGCATAAAGACATATACCTAACTTCAAAGAGATATATGTTGCTATTTTTCCATACTTTTCAACTCTTTTTAGCAAACTATTTAGCAGAACGAAAAAACTGGCACTTAACCAGAAGTTTTGTTTCAGCAAGATGCTACTGAAATCAGTAACCTAATCAAAAGTTTTTATACTACATATGTACGCTCTTGGACAAAAAAATAACACACTTGTACTATCGTTAGGTTCTCGGAGATTGATTCAGAATGTTCAAAAGTCGAAAATTAATATGCGTATAAACCAATTCGTACGTTTACACTTAGCAACAATAACATTATCGAATGTAACAAATTCTCCTACTCGCCTACTTTGAAAAAATATTTTAAACTTATTAAGAAACTTACAAAGTAACAAATTGTTATTCGCAAATTCATATTATACCATTAGTGAGACTAATAAAAGTGTAATTATATTAAAATGTTTATGTAAATTAAAGATATATCATTTTGAATATTTAGTACTTTTCTTTGTTCGAGGTTAACGCTTCGCAAAAGGCGATTCTGAATTTCTATCATCTGATTGGACGGCGTAGTTAAATAAAGCATATATCGAGGAAAAGGCGGTGCATTATTTGGTGACGTAATTTTTATTTTTAGTGCACGGCAAATCATCTTGAGTTTTTCATAAAACCGCATTTTGTGCCCAATGTGTTCATTTTACGTACAAAATACAATTTGAAAAAATAAAGTGGAAATACCATGCTAATGATGAATAACAGTATTAATTTATAAAGAGAAAAGTTCTTTTTGTTAAATAATATTTAACGAACGAAGATAAATATTTAAATATTTTGAAAGTATAAAAGCTCGTGAGATTTAATTGATTCTACCTTGTTAAAAGAATGCCAGGGTAAGCACAATTATTTCTTTTGTGAAACATACTGTTATAGGATATCTCTTCTGTCGTCGAAAATTAATTTACAGGTATATAACTTTAAATCCGTTAATATATAAATATTTAAACTTTAGTCTGAATGCATCACTGCCACAAATATGATATAGTAAATGATCCTGATAAATTTATAGCAAAAAAAAATAAACAATTTGAAATTATCGAGGATCACAATATATCATAGAATTTAAATAATTATTTAGTTTCAGACATATAATAATATAGCATGAACTAATAAATTTATAGTTACTACTTTTGTAATTTATTTGTTTACAAAATTCGAATGCAAATACTACTTACATGGAACTGTAACAGATTTAGAAATAATTAAAATTCAAATACATATTAATTTAATAAATGTTTAAAATTATAAGGCAAAAATTTATTGTATTATTTAGTATTATTTATCAACTGTTACCAAACATTTGGTACGTATTATAAATTGTTTTTAGGATTAGAAGTTATTAACAATTTAAACTTTACCAAAGTGTTACAGAAATGTCTTTGGATCATATGTTCTGTTCTCGATGTAAGGAAGGTTTTGTAGCTCATGAAAAAATTGTTAATTCGCACGGAGAGTTATGGCATCCTCAATGTTTTGTGTAAGAATATTCAATTATTAGTAATTAAATTTAGTTTAATTATGAAACATTAAACTTCCCTGCAAACAATTAAAATTACCTCAACATAATTAATTGCCTTTACCTCTTATTTCATTAGATGTGCACAATGTTTTCGTCCATTTCCAGATGGAATATTTTATGAATTTGAGGGATATAAATATTGCGAGCATGATTTTCATGTATTGTTTGCTCCTTGCTGTGAAAAATGTGGTAAATCACTTTTTATTTATCTAAATTTGGTATTATATTTTAAAATTGTGATATTGCTTTCGTTTGATTCTATGGATATGATATTTAAACTTTTTCGTATATAGGAGAATTTGTTATCGGTCGTGTAATAAAAGCAATGAATGCCAATTGGCATCCAAATTGTTTCCGTTGCGAAGAATGTAATGGAGAATTGGCTGATGCAGGATTTATTAAATGTCAGGGTAGAGCTTTATGCCATACCTGCAATGCACGTGTGAAAGCTGGAGCGCTTGGAAAATATATTTGCCACCAGTGCCAGTATGTGTTTTTATTTTTTTTCTACAGTAAAAATTTTATCTATAATTTTATATGTTATGCACGTTTTGTAGCGGAGTAATCGACGACAAACCCCTACGCTTTCGTGGAGAACTTTATCATCCGTATCATTTTAATTGTTCCGCTTGTGGTGTAGAACTCAATTCTGATGCTCGAGAAGTGAATTCTAGGCCAGGATATGCTGCCAATGAAATGGTATATTTACTATTTATCTAGCACTGTATTCTGAAGATCCAAAATGATAATTTTACTTTTATATATTATGTTTGGTATTTAATGTTTTTAGAATGAGTTATATTGTTTGAGATGTCATGATAAAATGGGAATCCCTATTTGCGGAGCATGCAGACGTCCTATAGAAGAACGTGTAGTAACTGCTTTGGGTAAACACTGGCATGTTGAGCACTTTGTTTGTGCAAAATGTGAAAAACCATTTTTAGGCCATCGGCATTATGAAAAAAAAGGTTTAGCTTATTGCGAGATTCATTACCATCAACTCTTTGGAAATCTTTGTTTCGTATGCAACCAAGTAATTTCTGGCGATGGTACGTATATTATGCTCTATTATTATTTAAATTTGGTAGATCAATTTACTTTATTTTCAAGTTCTTAGTCAAATTGAAACGAAATATTAGTTCGTGTACTATGTATTTTATATTTTTCAGTTTTTACAGCTCTAAACAAAGCATGGTGTGTTCATCACTTTGCATGCGCGTTTTGTGATCAAAAAATGAATCAAAAGACCAAGTTCTTCGAATTTGATTTGAAACCGGCCTGTAAAAAATGTTATGACAAATTTCCACAAGAATTGAAGAAACGTATGCGTCGTATGTATGATTTAAACCCTAAAAGAATACCAGCTTAAAGGTTAGACTACACCTACACATATACACGAATGTTATTAGCTTGTCATTAATATGTCGTCATACTCTTGTATGAATTGCTAATATTGTTTTATATATTCATATTTATATTTCCGACTTTAAACTTGACAATTAACTCTCGAACAACGTATGGACGAACTAACTAGAGGCGGATTTACGTTTTCGTCGCGTTAGACTGTTATGTTCTTGTCACCCCGTAATGAAGGTGAAGAGTAACTGGAGAAGGACCACACAAACTTAAAATGTTAGATTCGAAAGTATTTTTTATGATAATTTTTTAAGATTTACCATTTATTATGTAACAAATTTTTCCCCAAAACTGCCACCCTAGACTATAGTCTACTCATACCTAAATCCACCTCTGGTTCTAGCGACGATACGGGCGACCTCGCCAGGGTCCATTTAGAATTAAATGTTTACTTTCAAACATACTCATTTAAGAATAAGTTCGTTGGGTATTAATTTTGTTTAAATTGTTTAATATTTTTAATATCGCTAATGCTTAAGAAAATAGAAAACATTAATTAAAAAATAATATACAAATATAGTTTATAATATCCAATATATAGCGTGAATACAAATAAAAAAAAATAGATTTATAAAGTATAAATAAACAATATTTATTGTAGTTTTTTACAAAATATACATAGAATATTGGTTTTTTGCATAGTTAATGTGCATTGCATACATGTTTTTAATAATAATGGAATCCTCGAAATATATAAATCGCCAAATATCTATGAATTTATCATAAAACATAATTGACATAATGAAGTGTAGCATTTGTGAAATATCTCTTTGAAACACATCTTTATGCATACCCAGAAATGATTTAGTGTTTTTATTACTTACATTTTTAGTATACTCTTCTATGGTACTGTATCTTTATAATCCTCTATCTCAATTGGTTCAGAGAATGTCTGATACTTTTAAAATACTATCAACAATTGTAGAGATTTGAAAAACAACATGGAGGTGGTGGTGAAGCTTCAAGTATGCATTTCACACTAGTTTATGGAGTGGAACCTACTATAGAGAGAGGACTTGATGGCTAGTCACAGCTGATTGGCCGTAGCGTAATAGCGACGCCTAGTCTCACACGTATTGTCATTCTCACAACTATAAATCCATCGCGTGACAGAGATAGGACAAGACTGAGGAACATTGGTGTAACCGTATTAGCTATGAATAGAAGTTTAGTTTGTAGGCCCCTAGCCAACAAGTCATCTCTCCATAATAATCTTTCCTCGTATGCAATAAAAAAGAATTTTTCCTAAGGTAAAAAATTGTCTTTTTTAAGCAGGTATAAATTTATTTTTTCTTTTCAACTGAAGCTTAGTTTCATTTGAACGTTTTCTTTTCCTCGGAGGTTTTGCATTGTATTTTAGCAAACGTTGATTGTCATTGTTTTCATTCTTAGTATTAGAAGGCGACAATGAAAAAGATAGTTTCGCCGCAGTTGCATGCTGCGAGGCTTCTCTCACTGATACGTTTGTATTTATACACAACTGCGATTCACAAGACACGGAACACTTGTTTTTTATCGAATTGTTGCATTTCATACTCTTACATTTTGTATCTTTAACTTCTTGTTCGCCGGTCATTAACTTACTAAGAATTGGAGTTGGTATAGGAATAGGAATAGGAATTGGTACAGGAATAGGTACAGGTATAGGATATGGTACAAGGACCGTAACCGGAGGTAGAAGAGTTGCAGACAATGTATGGATGGAAGATTCAGCTTGATTGAGTTGTACAGGCGACGATGCTTTTAAGGACGCGTTTGTTTGGTTTTTGTATTCGATTTGAATAGTTTCATCCGCAAAGGATTTAGCTGCAGATGGAGTTTCACATTGCATCACAGGTGCAGTTGAATTTGCAAACCATGTGGGTGATCTTAACACGTTTTCCGATAGATCATGTTCTTTTTCTTTTAGCATATCCTTTATATTTTTTACATGTATATTCTTTTCTAAAAATATATTATTGTGTCGATGATCGTACGAATCATGATTTACAACATCCATCAATCTGTGATCTTTTTCAAGCTCCTTACAGTTCAGAACAGTTTTTTCTGTACAATTAATTTTGCAATGATTTTGATTATTCACGGAACGATCGAATTTGTTTTCCTCGGTTACCAACGTCGGTTCTTTAATGTCTTCTTTAACGTCAGTTTTATTAATATCGGTATGGAAATTTATTTTTTTTTTATTATGATTTTTAACTTTGGTACATATCCGAATGCAAAATGAATCTCTTTTTCTTATTGCTTTTCGATTAGATTCTAATGATTTCTCGATCTCATTTTGATTCTTTTCCTTTCCTTTGTCATGGGAAGGTGATGATAAATTAGAAGTCGCATGCTCATCCTCTACAAATGTATTCTCTGTAGAACTGTTTAGAGGCGATTGACAACTTCGAAACCAAAGTTCTGGCGTTATTAAATTACCCTTTTCTGCATCATGGCAAGAAACATTGTTTAAGCCATGAAGCATCAAATGAGTCTGTGTTTCATGGCAAAAAATATTCATTTTATACTGATTCAAACATTTATCGCTACAAAATTGAAGTTGACTTTCATCATCCTAAAAGAACACATTGCATGTGTTATACGATTTTAGTTTATCGAAAAAAAATGTAGGGCTCTAAAAATACGCGTTTTACAGTAAGATACTTTCAGGTTTTTCTGGTTATACCGATATCTCCGTTGTTTCGAAAGTTTCGTAAGTTTGTGTACTTTAAATTCTATTTACATACCTGGAAATCAACATGGCTACCTGAATTTCTTATGTGCCTACACCAATCACACGTTTTTGCTTGTTTAAAAACTGCTCTTCCAGCAGCAAAACAAGCTTCGCTACAAAAATGTCCCAGAGTATTTATCATGTTATAGGAAAGAGAATTAGTCCTTCCTGATTTACATATTTGGGTAATTCGACCACACCAGGAACAAGATATATTCTCTATTGAAAGAATTAAAAGAACTATATGAGTTAGATCACTTTCATAATGACTGGTGCAATTTGTAGCACAAAGCCTGTATATACATAAAGATAATATGTTTTTCTATAGCTCACCTGTGCAAATAGAACTTGAATAATTTTTATAAGGAAATGTAGATGTAGAATCAAGCGATACTTTTTTTATTGGTAGTGGGGGTGATATCAGTTGCCTGTCCACAGTATTTAAGCTGCTCGCAGAATGTGGTAGTGGTAATTTTGATACGTCAAAATGAGAATTGGTTGCATTTAGCAACGGAGACTTTGGTGCTTGCTTGTTTAGAATAAAGTTCTCGTCCATTTTAACCATTTGACTACTTCTTGTGTCAAGCGTGGATGTAAAATGATCCAAGTTTAAACTTTTGGTGCAACCACTGTCTACTTTATCATAGCCATACCACCCCAATAGCTCGCTCATCGTAGTCGCTGCATATTCCTACGGTAATATGTAACATAATAAGTTATTATTATATCAAAATTTATCAACATTCAATGAGTTAAACACCAATTATCGAAATACTATAGTATATGAACATTCTACTACGCGAATGCTCTAATTGCAATATATTTTGATAATTGATTATCGTATTGTATTATAGTAGTCCTACAATTATGCATACATTCACACTTTATTTGTGATTAACCTAACTTACAAAAAAAGTCGTGGAAACATTCGATTTCGTCATAATTGCAATATTAATCTGTGTTAATAAACAATCAAATGATAACGTAAATTATTTTATTCGAAATGCAAATACAGTGGAGTTCCGACTATTCGGTACCCGGTTATTCGAACATTCCGAATAAAACACGCAATTTATTATTTGATTGTTTATTAACACAGATTAATACTGCAATTATATTACGTGACTAAGATTCAAGTAATGGTAAAACTTTTTCTTATCATGTTTGTTTTGAAAGTTTCTTTCTCTCGATAAATAGAATACGATGCGATCGTACAAAAATTTGACCTTGAGAAAATCATTAATGGTCAATTTTGTGATAAGATTTTATAATGGATCATCATAGATCAAGTACACAACATGTACTGAATGCTTAGATTATAATTGAATCAATTCTAGAGTGGATTTGATTTCTTATGATAAAGAAATAAAAAGATACAAATAAGAAGTGTGTCTGTTTTTAATCTGAAGTGTATTTGAACGCAGTCTTTAGGGAAACATGTACTTTTTCGGAGTTCTTTAGAAAGTGAATTAGAATCTTGATACTTTGGCGGCCATTGTCACGAATACGTGACTTTGCCAGCCAGCCGTCAACAGCCACTGTCACGTGTACGTGAATTTATTATTTTATCCATTCAACTTATTATGTTTATTCATAGTTTACTTTAATTAATCATTGTATAATGCAATAAAAACAATATTATCAAAGAAAATACATATTCTACCTGGATTTCATCCGTTATTATTTCCTCTTTAACTTCAATCGGTGCACAATTTGATTCAAACGAACAATTCTCTCCATTATCCTCCGGCGACGACGAATGTATTTTTCTTGCGTGTTGTTCAACTTTTTTTAAAAACGTGTTAGCCGGCTTATTGTCCATTACGGTATATTGCACACAAATTCCGAGTTAATAATATCTCTTGCAGTCTTTAATACGATTTCGAGGAATTTAATACGAATTTTATTTGTCCACCGTGAACTACCACATACAAATTCCGAATAGTATTTGTTTTCTATTCAACTAAAATTTGAATCAAGTACTCCCAACAATTTAATAATTTAATTAAGCACAAATCGAAATCTGCAATTCCATAACATATTCCGAATAAACACATTTTTGTTTCGCAAAGATATCTTGGAAATTTAATTTTCAGATCAATTTTTTAATTAAACGCCACATTTTCCATTCGAATAAAATCAGTAAAATAAAAATACTTGGAATATCTATCATTAATTACTCTTACTCGATCAAGCGAAAAAGGATTTTTTTAGCTAAGAAAAGAAAAGATTTCGATTCTATATTTATCTATTAAAACTCTTGCTTTGTAATATCGAATGAAATCATTCTCAAATTATTGTCACGTTTTATATTCTTTTAAAAAACGTTATTATACATTGTTCATCGTTTCACTGTCGCCATGACAATTATTTACAGAAGACTTGTAATTTGTAGAATAGTAAAATTATCGTATAAAAATTTGTTTCGTCGATCGTTTGGGAAACCAATATGGAAAATGCATTTAACGGAATATTATTGTAATTACATCGATTAACGGAAATTTTTAATCGAAAAATTTACCGAATTTATCACTTTCGAATAGATATAAATATTCGAATAGGTAATACCGCAGCATCAAGCTGTGCCTAATCAAATTTCACAGATATTTTTAGGCCAGTAAGGTAACACAACTTGCGTGAAAATAGATCACATAAATAACTCTGTCTAGTGTCTTCTCCTTCTCACCAACTTAACAGAAATTTTCTTCTTCTCGGAAAGTAAATTTCACACTATCTACCATACGATCGTAAATATATAATATTCGAATTATCGATATATTGTACGGATAACGAACGGTTACGGATACGATATATTCCGCGAACGTTGAACGTTCAAACGGCTCATTTCTCGTTAATAGAACCATGTATCACTTGTATAGAATAAAAACGACACTGGTGATCGCGAACGGTCCGTCGGAAATGCACTTTTCGGTTTATGGATCACGTGGCACGATTTTGAAATATTTACTATTTTTTTTTTCGAAAATAGAACACGCGGTATCAAACGATCCTTCGAATCATCGATCTTCGTTATACGGAGCAAAGAACATAACGTTGTCGGTGGGATAGAAAAAGCCTGCGTTTTGCGCGCGCACTGCCCCTCGACGTTTGTGTATTCTTTGTGGCAGCAGCCTTTTTGAAGATTTAAAGGCGGAATACCGAGAAAGACTGATGGTTGGTACACGAGCGTAAAAATACCCGGGATTACTTCGCTTCAAACCGTACGCGTTCGTCTAAAAACGGCGCTGATAAAAACTGACATGTTACACCTACGGGCTCTCGGGCTGGACTAAACGTGAATTTTCGCGGCTCACTGAATTCAACACTAAACCCCCACAAAACAAATTCATTTTTATTCAATGATTAAATTACATACCCTGTCATTTTACGTTCATTAATTCTGTAAACGCATTTTATTCGATGTTTTTCTATTTGCAAATATATTGGCAGTGTACGTTGAAAAATGTTGCGTACAAAATTATATAAAATAAAGCGAATCAATTTCTGCGTGGGCTTTCTTTCCTTTATCTAAAAACATACAATTAGACGGTAGGTAAATTTTTAATGAAACAGTCTCGATAATCTTATAATTATTAAGAAATTGATATAATTATCATCGTTGTTTATAATTTCATCTGAACAATGGGCCATTATCGCGTCCAGAAAGAGAATCCCACGTAATTTTTTACCTTCGTCGGGTTTTACAATGGGAAATTGGTAACGAACGTGAAAGTTTTTTCCTTTTTATTCTGTACCACGTTCTGCTTCAAACATTTCCAGAATATTCGACGATCCGCATTTATTTACAGAATAGAAAAAATAATCGTAATTATTGAACACTGCGAACAGAAATTGTAGATATACAAGTTAAATGTGTGCTTAGCCATTGAAATTTTACCACAGTCTCCCGACTGTTACCGAAGCTCGCCGATCACTGCCGAGTGGACGTTTGAACTGGCCTATCATGGCGTCTCTCTCTAAGCAAAAAGTGATTGTTCGATTCTAATTTGTAACGGTTTTTGTGGTGTTCTTGTGGTGTTCTAACTTGTAAAGTCTTATGTTTCGCGATTTTATACCTATTTCAAAATAAGTGGAGATTCGGTGTTGCCAATCAAACTCCTGCTCATCCATCGTGGACCAGTCCTCAGACTATTTGAAATCCCACTCACTGAGGATGGTGCAGGGATGGTTGTCCGTGGTCCCAAGAGGCAGGTATGATCCCAAACTATAGCTTAATAGTATGGCAATTTGCTTTGTACCATAAGATAATTGCCAAATTGCTAATTAAGTAATTTAAACTAATATTAACTAAATGAGGGGTCATCTAATAAGTGTTGGAATTCCCAACATTGATAGCTCTTATTGTTGTACCTACTCTTTGATATCAGCGTCGATTACGCATAGCTACGGCACTGCTCAGTCGATTTTCTCGAGCGGCAATTCATACGGTGATAAAAGCTCGTGCTTTGCCCAGAGATATTTTCTTTCTTTCTTGTTTCCCTTCTTCTGAAAACTTTCCTTCCTCCTTGCAATGTTAAATGTATTTGATTAGCTTTTATCGCTTATCAGTCATTCTTAATTTTATCTCGCTCACATTTTTCCAATGTATACGAAAACAAGGCAAAATAATATCACATCCGGTTTCCAGCTAATGCCACTTTGATACAATTCATTGTATCGTACAAATAAGAAATCTCTACAAAAATTAACCGCGATCATAAACTGATGCTACATTCTTTTATGCGAATAAGAAAATTAATGTGGCTACAACAATGCTAAAACGAGACAGTTAAATCAATATTATTTTGATTGGTTAATCATTTCGTAAATATTATACATTGGTTGTTTATAGCATTGAAACAATGTATCGTTCCAGTGTTTAATTTATTATTTCTAAATAAATATTACTTGAAAAAGGTAATTATATTCCACAAATGAATAAATAAGAGCATGAAAACTATATATGTATAACAAACTTGTATTATTATTATAAGAGTATTAACTACTATTTAGTTACAATTTCTGAGAACACTGAATAATTTTTCAAATAATATATACATATTTATATTAGCATTATGCGTGTACTTTTTATTGTCAGTTAATAACATTCATACCGATAAATCAATAATTCTAAATATAAAAATAATGTGGTACGTTTAAAATTGTTAAATATACTTTAGAAAGGATACGGAAATATGTGAGAATTGTTTTCGTAAGTTAAAGGGATATATTGCAAAAGAAAAATATTAAATTTGTTTAGTTTCACCGCGACAGTGAGAGCAACAAGTTATGTTCGAATCACATCGCGGAAGAAATATTTGGCCACCGATTGCTACTGCTGCTCCCATCACTGCACTGCAAGCTACGTCTTGTCTTCCAGACATGAGCAATTTCGAACTCATGAGTACCTAAGAAACCAACAGTAAAATTAATGCAGATCATAGAAATCATTAAAATTACAGAAAGTGGAAGCATACTTTCTCCGCAGTCTTTTCAGCAACTGTTTTCATGTCTAAACCAGTGGTATTAATCTCTCTTTGTAGATTGATATTTTCTACACCACTTAAAAGTTGAACTTTCAAAATTTCTGCGAGTTGACAGCAGCCTTGTGCTAAATCTATAATAGATGTACTTGGCAATTCGTGCCTCCTATAGGAGGCAGCTCCAACAGGATCAAAATTTTCACGAAGGATACTAAGTGTCCTAAAGTGACAAAAAATGTTTTCATATATTTTCTACTTACTCAAAAGTTTGTGAATTTGCATTTCTTACAACTAGATACACGCTTCAATGCACTAAGATACCTATATGTTTTAAGGGATATGTCGCGAACGTGATTACGATCCTCTAAAAGCCTTTTTATTGCTTCCTGAAGATCTGTTGTCCTTTGACAAAGAGCTGCTTTCCATTTTGCAAGTTCCTCGACCATTAAGCTATCATAACAGTAAATTGTAATTTACTACAGTGTTATTAATAAAATATACACTGCTGCTCATAGATATGAGTGACTATTATAACTTCAAGAAAAGAAGTCGTCCAATAATCTTCTTGGAGTTATACTAAAGGTTGAATCTTCTACTTTCACATTCCTAAGTTGAATTTCCTTGGAGATTCTTTTACACTTAACAAGTCATATTTACGAACAGCAGTGTATGTGAAAATTACGAAGAATTGATTAAATTATACATGAAAATATTTTTAAAATCTTACAAAAGTTTAGGATCTCATGCTATGCATGGCAAATATATAATCATCAATTATCTTTCATTTACCTACTGGCTAAGAATTTACTTCTCCAAACTTCACACTGACCAGCCAACCATTCAGTTTGTTCTTGGTGAGTGGAAAGATGTTGAGCTGAATTTAAAAGTGCCCTAGCAAGTTGCAATTTATCTTTGGTTAATAAGTGAACCTTTGTTTCAAGATCTTCTCCTACAGCAGCTACTAATAAATTCTTCAATTCTCCATTAACCTGTTTAAAACAATGTACAATATATGTATATATATATATATACATTGCATTTTTGCAATTTTATTACTTTTCTTCACTTGTAAAGTATATCTAATTAAAATGAATCAATCAAACAAAACCTAAGTCTTATTACTGTCTAAAATACAGTAACCATTGCAATCTCTTCAAGTTTGAATTACAGCTACAAAACAATTTAAAAAAAAAAAATACATAAGCATAACTTAATCTAAGTCAACTTATTACATATACAAAGAAATATATCGGTACCTGTGCTTGAAACTTCAACTGATTCTCAAGTTGACTGTTTTCTTCTTTAAGTTTTTGTATTTCTGCGTCGTACAGTTTCTTTTCTTTTAACCATTCGCTCTCCATAGAGTTATCTTCAACTGTGCTCACAGTATCGTTCGATGGTACTTTTGTTTCGTGAATTTTCATTGCAGCAATTTGAGAAACAGTCATGTTCATGTTTAAATTACACTTTTGTGATTTTTTACCTTTCTTATCGTACGGAATAATTGGATTAACTGCAGCTTTATATGGCTCATAGGGAACAAACTTTGGTTCCTTTGATTTCAATGAATTTAAAATGTGTTTCTCATCTTTTACGCTAGCAGCATGTTTTGGTATTAAATTTATTATTGGACCGTTTGGAGTAACCGGAGGAATGGAACTCAATTGTTTTAAATTCGTTGGATGATAAATAAGCGTCTCTCCAAGACGACATTTCATTCCTTTGGTCTCTGTTTTCTCAATCATTACATTCTCCATACCATCACCTTGCGTACGTCCCATACATTGCATTGTTTGTTTATCTTAAATATTAATTACAACACATCGATATTCAATGATAAAAAACAAAAATAACAATGTTACTCGAAACGACATTGACAAATATTTCTACCATTTTGCTCAGTGAATATTAAATTTGATGTAGCAAAGTAAAATTAATATACTGTTACAGACATTAAATACGTAAACACTTCAAATATAATAAAAAGTTATATAAAAATAAGCTTAACTTTGTGCAATATTTGGAAGTTACATCGAAGACAAAATAGTTTCTACAAATGGGTCATAAAAAGGAAATCTAACCTTGTGATTTGATTTGTGCGTCGTCTTTCGTAGAGTTTGGAACAGTAGCCATTTTTATGTCGTTTTCGTTATAGTTTAAATAACTTTAATAATCGTATTCGTTTTAGAAAGGGAATAAAAATCTTTAACTACTTTAATAAGATCATTACTAATCTACTATTTGGTAGATAACACTTTATGAAAGCAACCTAACATGATTATTCGTAACTATAAGCTGTACGGCACAGTACTATTAGTTGCCCGGTACCGAACATCGGAGAGAAAACATTCCGATATAATTAATTGCTGCTGTTCGATGGGAATACAGCTCGCTAAACTGGGCTAAACCTTGTCTGTAGTTAAATGAATCTCCTTCTTGTACTTTCTCTCGTCTCAACTTAAGGCTCAGATATCAGTGTATGTGTTGTGATGGAAAAATACGTTGCTTATTTTATTCATACAATATCTATTTATTTGCAAACTATATATGTATACAATTTTTTCTTCTTTTAACCTTTGAATTTAGTTTTCACGGGATACCCTGTACATATATTCAATATCGACAATGTGCTTAGTTATTACAAATAATTTATCGAATCGCGGCCATCTACAAACGATCTCGAATTTTTATATTTAATGACAGCACTCATCATACGTGTAATATGATGGAAAAATATTTTTTAAAAATGAGTAACTAAAAAAAAAAATTATTTAAGTATGAATTACGTATAAAATGCAAATTACAAATAGTAAAATAGCAAAGTACAAATAGTAAGTAAATTATAATCATGTAATTAATGTAAGCTGTAACCTCTTTTAGAATTTGTTGAGTGTGAAAAAAAATATTGATACGTTTTCTTCGAAAACTATTATTTACATCAATATTAAAGTAAAGTTTATTTAATTTATAAGTTTTATTAAGCTATAGTTTGTAAAAAAAAAGAGGAAAATCAATTACGAAAACTATGGACGAGAAAACGTATAAAAGATATAAACGAAGAATTGATAAAACTGTAGCTGTGGTCGATAATAAACCTCCAAAGTTTGAAGTTAACTGCTATTATAAAAAGCGCAATTTAACTATCGATGCGGATCGAATCAGAGAGATAGACAAAGAGAACATGGAAATGTTAAAAAGAATGAGTGTAATTACTCGTACGAGAGTAAGTAGTTTTCGCTTTAAAGTACTTTTATCGTGAATATACATATGTACAAGAATAAAAGAACAAATGTCAAGATATTTTTATTCGTAATAATATCACTGTTCTATATTATAACAGGGTGTAGTGGACTGTTGGATGCCACGTATTAAATATACATCGGATTTAGAAGATCAAGATACAGTAAATGACGAAATTCTAAGATCAAATAAAATTTTAGTAAAAAGAATTCGCGAGGCTAGTAGCGCATACTCTACCGCAGAATTTATAAAAAGTTGGAAAGAACTGCAAATGAAAGCAATGGTTACTAGAAGGCAAATTATCAATTCATAATTTTTCGAAAATTTCATATACGATATTTTACAATAATTCCATTCAAGTAGTTTAAATTGTTTAATTGCATCGATAATTTTTTAATAAGGATTGTTAAAAATAACTTGTCTTGAATTGTCAGGTATCCACAAGAATTTGAGACGCAAATTGTTGTATCTCAGACAAATAAAGATCATTGCATGGTTAAAGATTTATCATTGATGAAAGAATTGAAACCATCTATTCGAACTAAATGCTTTTTCGAAATTGAAATCCGCGGCGACAGACAAAAGTTAGGAATTATTCAATTCGAACTTTACGACGATGTCGTGCCCCAAACCTGTGCAAATTTCGCGGAATTATGTCGTGGAACAGGAAATGGTTTGTCATACAAGTACATCGATTTCAGAAATCCTACTTTTCTTTTAAATTCAATCAAAGATAAAAATTAATATTTATTATTTCTCTCTTATAATTAAAGTTACAAAGACTTACGTCTCTTTTCACATTTGTACAATACAGGGTGTCCTCCGTAACTGGAAATTATTGATACATCCAAAAACTGCAGCTGCACCCTTTTTTTAAAATGGAGTTCGACATTTTCTTATTCGTTAATTTATAATAATTGCACAAAACGTTTCTCTACAACTATCGTGGTTCTACTGAACAGACAAATGCGTTAGAATATTTTAACTGCAGCTCTGAGATAAAAAGTCATAAATACCGAAGGATAACATTTAAATTATTTATTATTCAACAGAAATACACCGTTTCATCGTATTGTTACGGGTTATTGGTGTCAAGGTGGGGACGTTACAAAGTTTAATGGCAGTGGAGGAGCTTCGGTATTTGATACTTCGTTCGAAAATGAGAATTATAATTTGCTCCATTTTGGTCCCGGAATTTTGTCTATGTGTAACGACGATGAAAATAAAAACGATTCAAAATTCAATCTGACATTTAGACGGCTGGAGACGATGGATGGAAAATGCGTGGTCTTTGGGAAAGTTGTTTCAGGACTTTCGAATATTTACAAGGCATACAAATACATTCCACTTTGTTTTATTAAAATGAGTGTACATAAAAATAGAACGTTGGGCATCAGAACTATCTTTCGTAGCTTTTATTCTATTTCAATTCAAAGTTCTATCGTTCTTATTTGAAAACCCGTTATAAACAATCATTTTGTCGATTTTTATTAGGCGGTAATGTCATTTTTGTAATCTTTAGATCGAAGAATTCGGGACAAAGACTGGAAAACCGATTAAAACAATAATTGTATCCAACTGTGGTATTATATCGAGAAAACACGAATGGCATCCACCAGAACCAAGTAACGACGTGGAAAATTCATGAAACAAGTTTTCGTTAATGACTTATAGCAGACGTCCGTGATACCTATAGTCAATGTATCGATCATTTATATTTTTGCTAATTAAATGTTGTTTTCTATAAATTACTAACTTCTCTTGTCAATAGAATGATTAATGGGAAAAATTTTAATGGGAGATTCTAGAGGCCAAAATAAAACAAAAATCAAGAATAGCAATTTGTTGATTGAGGCTTCGTTAAAAAGTTATTAACGTTTAAAGTTCCGCCTGTAGATAGGCAACCCTCCGTACAGCTGCGCGCGCACGATAGTGGTTCTCACTCAGCATGAGAAACTCTACTTAGTGACGTATCGACAGTCTTACAGTGTTCTGAGTGAGAATCACTATCACGCGTACGCAGCGGAACATTAAATGTTAATAACTTTTTAACGGAGCCTCAATCAACAAATTGGTGTTCTTGATTTTCGTCTTATTTTGGCCCCTAGAATCTCCCAAGGGTGGCCAAAGACCATGTATATAAATCATGTTCAATTAGTGCGTGACAAAAGTATTTGGATATACAAAACTTCTTATTGCCAAGTATGTTAGAATTTTGTATGTAACCGTATAATGTTTTATCGTGAAATTGTAAAGACAGTCTACTGTTAACAACAGAATAGAAAATTAATTTATTAGTAAATGTAGCTATCATAAAAATGGAGTCATTAATGTTTTCATTGATCTACATCAACACCATCTTGTAGAAAATGCGAACACTTTCAATGTGACGCAATATGAAGTTACGTGTTATTTTACGAAATCGGGAAATGTACGTGTTAATGCACGTTATTAAATTTAGTAAAATACTAATCGATGCAAAAATAATTGTAGAAAGTGCGAACGATTCGAGAGCTGAAAGATGAAAAGATTGAAAACATTGAACGTTGGATTTCCATTTAGTTATTAAAATTAACAAGTATAAAATGATTGTTATAAATATTTCTCATTTCTCTTGCAGGATGTAAAAACTATAATGAAAGCATATATCGATTGGTCGAACGAAATAAGGGAAACACTTTATAACGTGCGACACCTACGTTATTTCTCAGTAGGACCATGTATGGCACATGTTGCATGACGTAAACGCTATTTTACATTAACCAATGTACGTGTGTAGGCGCGTTGTGTAGCGCAAAGGTAGCGCTCGTGGGAGAACATTAAGGCGACAGTCTCTAGAACCGATCGTTGTGTTCGATTAACGTCTTCATAGTATACTATATACTTCTAAAGTTTTTGATTTTTCAATAAATGAATCTTAGTAAATATATTACAATATACTAGAAATATATAATGTACGAATTTATATACAGGCTCAACAATTTAAGGAGTGCTGCTTCGAATACCGAAAACAAACGTTAATCATCGGTATTTTCACGTAAAAATACAAAATGTCGAGTAAAAGTGTTTCTTTTATTATATCGAAAATATCAGATACCATGAAAAGGTTTTTTGTTGTTGTAAAATGTATTTATTCATCAACATACGAACCTTTGCGTTTTCTAACTTCCTATAAACGGTTTAATAATTAATTATCAATGCCATTTTTATAAAAGTTTCTTATTTTATCGAGGAAAATTTTGATGCTTTTTCCTAGCTCTGGTTACATAAAATAAACATGCACGAAAAAACTTTTTACACAAAAGTTGCATGTTTTGAAAAGGGCACATCATGTACTGCATGTATTTTTTAAACGTGAAGCCGTTTCAGAGACTCGAAGGTCAACTGCGTTTTTTAAAAAATGGAATGCTGTATTTCTTGTACAAAAATATGGAAGAATGTTGAGTATCGAGTGAAAAAGTAGTGATATATATTCAATTTATTTTTTAAACGTTTTATTTCCAAGAAACAAATCGAAAGTACTCGTTAATTAGTTTGGTGTAGAAATGTAGCAACTTTTTATAAGGCAAAGTTGACCTCTAAATCTTCAAAGCCCCTCCACCTATAAAAAAATTCATACAATATATAACGTTTCCACTTAAAAAATACAATTACACAGGGCTTGTGAATGCTTGGAATCATTCATAAATACATTATCAAGATAGAACATAGTACACAGCTCATGTTTATGAATAAGCATTAAGGAAGTATAATAGTCTTAAGTGGACTACAGTGAATGGAAGATTAGTTAATTATCAATTTTCGTCAAAATTGTTTAAAAGCATCGAATCGTGGATAACAAAAAAAGATGTATCGTTTATTTACAACTTTTTTTTACACGAGGAACTATGTAGCGTTATATGTATAGCGCGGAACATGAATAGTGCCACACCCTTTATACATATATAATTGTACGTATAGTCATTGAAAACCGCATTATTAATTTACATCGATCTTTCGTACGTGTAACCTGTATTCAGAAAATAAGTTTCAACCGACTTAAAAATATCGAGTTAATGTTGAAATCTATATTTAGTTTAGGGTTTATTTAAAGCTTTGGCGTCTGTGAGTACTTAGTCGGGTAATTTTATTAAATTCGGAATAAGTGCATAGCTTGATAAAGCAGAAAGAAATTGATTTCGATAAATAACTGAACCCATGAATAAAATCACTTGCAAGATTTTTCATGACGAGCACGTAAATAATAGGATAAAGGATAACGACTCGTTGGTTGTAGATCGATTAAGATCTTGTAATGTTGTGGGTTTTTATGCATCGGTAATAGATGCGGTTAAACATGTTCCGTGATATTCTCTTACTAAATAGAGTTTTACGAAATGGCTACCGATTTATGAATCACGAAATTCGTAAGATGTAGGGTACGGTAGCAGATGAGTGCGTCCCTGAATTATCCAACTTGTGTGCGACGATGGTATGGCGTGTACCTCAGTATTCGCGCGTACGCAGAGGCCGTATATGGTAGTGGGCGGTAGAAACGCGCCGCGGAGGCATGCAAGAACCAATATGCGGGATGCGCATGCGCAAACAGAATGCTGCGCATGCGTTCGGACGCAGAAGTCTACGGGTACTTGTCGCGGCACATACACGGATGGTGCAGTAGAGCCGAGAATCCCGTAGCGTGTGTTTGTTTTTAATTTCGCGATCTACAATCTAACTTTTAACCTTAACAGAGTCCAACTCGTGAGAGAGGCTGTACTCTCTTTTTTTCTTTCAGTTGTCTAATTCTTCAGCCTTTACCCTCTCTCTATTTGTTTTTCCTTTTCCTTCGTCTTTCCTCTCTCTTTCTCTTTTCCCCTTCTCTCTTCCTCTCCCCATCCTCCTCCTCCTCCTCTTCCTCCTCCTCTTCCTCCTCCTCACCCTAGCTATTCCTTTCTGTTTCTGTCGCTCCTACGTCTCTCCCCCCTTTTCCGTATCCTTCTTTTCCGCCCCCTCCTTCTCTTCACACATAGTATACTGACTCCGCTATTTCTAAAAACGTAACGCAATCGTGGCGACGTATGCGAGGAGCGCGCCAGAGAGAAACCACGAGTGAGGAGGCGCGTCGTACGAACATCGAGTTATATTAATTACGACAATATTAATTGTGCGAACAAAATAAAGCAAAGTGATACCAATAGTGAATAACCAGAAATATCTACGTTAACGTTGTGCAAAAACTAAACGTGAAAGAAACCATCGTTGTTTTAGATCTTAATCGCAACGTCGTCTTTCTTAATCATATACGCGTTTAACGTTCTCTCTTTCGTTTCGTTTCCCTCTATTTGCGATACCAATTTTTTTTTTGTACATCTTTTCTATTTTCGCGCGGCCGCCATAGGAGTAATCAAGTAACTGCGATGTGTGATAATACTAACACGACGACGCAGAGTATAGCGGACTATCTGTCACAATTACTAAAAGACAGAAAGCAGTTAGCTGCTTTCCCTAATGTCTTTATACATGTAGAGCGCCTACTAGACGAAGGTAAGCAACCATTAATCCACTAATATCTTCTGTACCTTCGATAATGCATCGTTTCATATGCGACACGCCTTAGTTTCGTTTGCATGATTTACGCCTATAGCGATACATACTTTGAGCTCGATCCATCTATGTGCACACGGAATCATCGCCATAGTCTCTCTGCGATCTTACGAATTTCGCTACCGTAGCCGCGCAAGCGAAAAAGTGCACAACGTCCAAGAACGCTGCTGCCCGTGCTATGAGACCAGTTCTCGTTACCTCATAGTTTGCCATAATCGGCAACGGACTGCTTGCAAACATCGTATCTCGATCGCGTGTCACGTGTTGCGCGTCCCGGTCTGCTTTTCTTACCTTCCTTTTATTTCTTCAAATTTTTTCCACACCGGACCGTGGAACAGAAGGAAATTCTAACGCGGCGGACCCGCTCAATTTACAAAAATAAATTAGAAATTTCGTGTAATTTATCATTTTTCACCGATCGATCGATCCGTCTTGTCATAATTCGAAGTAGCTTGCTTGGCCAGCCCGGCCCAGAATCATCGCATACCACAGAGGAAACAAGATATAGAACGAAATGGTGGGGAGATTGTCAGTGAAACTAAAGTGAACCAAGTGTTTAAGAACAGTGACGAAGAAAAATGCACAGCTTGCGATACACTCTCTGAAACTCCGTACTACGTTTCTTTGTGATTTTCTTAAATATTTTTACGTTCATAGTGCAGACAATCGTGAACGATATTTTGTAAACTGTTGGCTTTTACAATATTCTTACACACGTTTACATTTACGCTCGCTAGATACCACGGATTTAACAACGGATAAACAACTGTAGTCATCTGGTATACCGGGTGTACGAAAATAAGTGTCAATCGAAAAATTTAAATTAGTGATTCTAGAAAATAATAATATTAGAGAAATTTATTCTGTTTTTAGTGTATAATCCAATTGAATAAACGCGATGTTTTTATTAATTTTTTTTTTAACGAACATTTCACGGTTAACTTTCTAAACGGAATTTTACATTTTGTTCATACTCTGTTATATAAAAAAGTTTTATTATAACGTGACCTTGAGACGTCTCCATGTCAGATAACTGGTATGTTAAGAAGATTTTTTTTTTTTTTGAACATTTAAATAAGAAAGGACGTTATTTTCTTAGTTCTGTGCAACTTATTATCTCATGTGTCCACTTTAATCCACTCGATGTTCTCAAGGTTACATTATAAAACCTCGAAAACTTAAATGTATTATTGGACACGAGTACACACGAAAATAATCAAATTGCAAGTAAAGAGGAGCATGAATTTTTCGTATCCGTCTTCCATCAATAACATTTCTATCTCTGTCTTATCATATTGCACACTATTCTGTCATGTGGGTATGGTTCGAGCACGCGTACATCGGATTTCTTGATCAGTTCGACTTTTGTGGTGAGAATATCCTGATAGTATATACAGGGTGGACGAATAACAATTAGCGCCTTAAATATTTTTGGAACAGTGTGGATAAAAGAAAATGTTTGGTTAAAAATCAGTTGAACAACTTTTGTTCAAACGAAGTCGCTTACAATATATGAAAGTCATTTTTTTTTAGAGAATATTATGGGCGTGTTCTGTTTAGATTGTAAGTGCTCACGCTTGCTTGCTCCTGTCGTTTGGTTTGGGATCGTAAGCAACCGTGAGCGCGCCAAAATGGAGATTAACCTAGAAGCAAGAAGAATAACTCTGTAATAGAATTTAGTAAATTTTTCTTCGGGGAAGTAGAATTTCCTTAACTTTTCAAATCGTATGCACACGTATAATATGCAACGTTTTTATTTAAACTAATCACTTCCATTTTATTAACATGTTGACTGGCATGGCGGTCATTGGTACAAAATTTTACAATGGAAGATTCTTAATACGTAGGTACTTGTAACATTGTAATTAATGATAGACTCCTTAAAAATGTTGTAAAATAACAAGTACACAGAAAGACAATTTAAAAATTTTTTATATAAAGTTACATTTACTCTGCGTCGCCTTTCCGCTTTTATTTACGTGTTATCGTGAAGATTCCAATTTGAGAGCAAGTCACTATCCACTAAATTTCATGTTGATTAGAATAACAGTAACTTTAGAACTTACTCGATCGTGCATTTAAAATTTAAGAGTGAAAAGCGATTGCAAGAGCTCGCGATTTTTTTTCGTACCGATCACACCCTGTATTTTTCTATTTATCTCCCGATAGCGATTCGTAAAACAAGTACAACAAGGTACAACATTAAGGTCATTCGAGATCGACAAAGGTTAACGACGATAAAAGTATGCCGACGAGACGGTGTTCGTAGTATTGACTGTCGCGGCGTCGCGTCGCCTCGCGTCGGTAGCAATACAATACTGTTGCTGTGCCGCCACAGAGCACAGTAATGTTTTCTTGCTTTTGTGTACCTTACGTACAAATATTATGAACGGTAATAAACACTACGCCAAGTATTCGGTCGGGTGGATCATGCGCAACGTATCCATTTACGGAGCAATTTGTCATAATTGTAGCACGCGTAGAGCTAGAACAAAATTCTGCCAGGTAATAAATATTAGAACTTGGCCAAAGCGTTGTCAACCTTCGAATTATCGTAACTTTGTGAAAAGAAATTGTATAACAATATTTCTGGGTTAATTTGCAAGTTATTTTGTAGTTATGGGTCATTTAAATTCACGTCTCTTTATGCAACTAAAAGTAGAATAAATTTAAAGATGTAAAGGTTTCCAGCGTGAAAGGACTCAACTTTTTAAAACGAACCCAGGAAAATAATTACGAGTTATTTCACCAAGTTAGAATAGTAGAAATATTGATAGCGTTTGATGCTTACAATAGTGTACGCGTGATAAGTTAAAGTACATTGATAGTTTGGTAATTCGTAAGACTGAACGTCGAAATCGAGCAGCGAAGAAAGTAAAAGAAATCAGCGCTCTCGCAACTCGTGGCTCGAGATCCTCATGTTGGTTCGTGTCAAATTGCATGTGTGTTAGGAAAAGCAGGGCACTCCGCATACTTCGTTATTATCCTTTTTCCTCCTTACTTATTTCAGTCCACGGAGATATCAAGCTCATCTTCGGGTTTTTGAAACTTAATGCTCGACTTGTTGTTCCACCGTTCGAAAGCGAATAGAATTCCGAGTTAAAAATGTTCGGCCTGGGTTAGATTCTGTAACTTATAACCAACATCTATTTAGATACTAATTAACATGCTTATAATTACCTACTATCGTTAGCTTTCAATATTTTATTATTGTTTGTAATAATACATTTTAAAATCGAATGCCATACGAATGTGTGTGCAGTGTCTCAGGAGTTATTCGAGTAGATGCGGGAATGCCACGTATTCTATCCTTGCACATGCCTCTTCATACGTATCTTTCTTCAATTTCCCCCACCTCTCACGAACAATAATAAATTTATTCCGAAATACGTTTGATCGCTTCGTTGATTATTTTCAAGATCTATACAGGGTGTTCAGCCACTCTTAACGGGAGATTCTAGAGGCCGAAATAAGACGAAAGTCAACGATATCAATTTGTTGATGGAGGCTTCGGTAAAAAGTTATTAAAAAATTTCAAATCGTTCTAAAAAAATTATTTTTAGCTGCGGGGGTCAATTACAATCATTTTTTGTGAACAGACACACCCTCGAAATCCTACGTATTTTTTAGAAAAAAATTCAGAAAGGTGGACAAATTTTTCGACAAAATTAAAAAATTTCAAATCGTTCTGGAAAAATTATTTTCAACTATGGGGATCAATTACAATCATTTTTGGTGAATACATATACCTCCGGAATTCTACGCATTTTCGAGAAAAAAATTCAGGAAGATGGAGACATTTTTCGACAAAATTAAAAAATTTCAAATCGTTCTGGAAAAATTATTTTTGGTTACGGGGGTCAATTACAATCATTTTTTGTGAACAGACACACCCTCGAATTCCTACGCACTTTCGAGAAAAAAATTCTTTACCAAAAATATACTGTGTGGCCGGAAATGTTTCTATAACTTTGTAACGAAGCCTCAATCAACAGATTAGTATCATTAACTTTCGTTAAACCAAGGTCTGATCATTTACAATAAACGATATTAATGATTATTAGTTGCTTTAACGAAACAATGCGTATTTATTAACGCGTGAAAGATGTAGTTTTCAAATGAAACGAACACGGACACCGTCTGTAAAATGAAAGCGAAGTTGTGGAGGCAGTAAATCCGAATTACGAAGAAAAATGCTATTTAATTTGCCGCGACTCGATAGAGAATATACGGAACGGGTATCTTCGAAAAGCCACCGTTGAAAGTAAGCTTCGTACGATGTGCACATTTCGTTCTATACTTACAAGCATGAGTAACAAAATGCTGCGTCTCATTTTCTCAAGAGTCTGTCGCTCTCGGCCTCTAGAAGCGAGTGGTAAATTTACGTTATGGCATGCTGCGCAGAAACGTGAAATTTATAGTATCATTTTTTGCTGCATTTACTCGGTCACCTGACGAAGAAGCGCGGTGGTATGAACCTCGAAATGTTCTACAAATATCCGGTAGAAATGTAAAAATATCACCAACGAGAATCAAACCGATCTCGAGACGCAGCTTGCGTCAACAAAACGTTCGCTGCACAGAAGCCTACACTTTTTATAACATTTTACACTCTGAACACGCGAACGATACGATGAATATTTAATCCTTGGATCAGAATCAAAATCGGTGTGCTAATTTTCCTAATTTTCAACGCTCGAACAAACAACCGGATGCGTAGTGTAATATAATAACAATTGATCGTTTAAGCGGATGAGAATCGTTGAATCTTATTTGTTTAAAAATAATGTTACTCCTAGCGTACGTATGTATATTCGAGTCGTCTATAGTGTTTCACAAGAAATGTGTCAAATGACGTTTACGACGAAAACCGGTTTTACGAAAGCTGTCGGGCCTTTCGCATTCCTACGCACATAGTCCTGTTGATATACAGAATTTTATCTTTGTTTCGTCAATTTAAAATGATACTTTGTTGTTTAATATTCGATATACTAATTTATATTTTAGGTTTCTGTACTGTGCCCGATCTAGTTAAAAATTCGAAATGTAAATCGATCGAATATTTCCGACAAAAGGAAACGCTTATTAACATTTAAAGTGCAACTTCGCGATAAATATAAATATATGCTTTGTTATGAAACAATATTATCGTGTAAATTACGTTACTCCAGTCGCTGCAAGATTAAATCCTTTTTTTAGAATTCTTTTTTGATTTCTGTGATTTTTTTAAATATTCAAATTGAGAAATGATAATCTTAGTTATATAGTTATTTAGTAAACTTTCAATTTTTCAATTATTTCTTTCCTGTTCTATGTTAAGTTTGCACGTTAACTTGTATAAATAATTAAATGTCCTCATAGATAATTTTTTCTTAGGAATATTTTTAAATTATTAATTTTTTATGTACGATTTCAATATAATAGCGAATTCTTATAAAAGTACCAACGAAGGTATAATTATTCGAACACTTGTCGTTTCAAAGATATTTGATTTTGTTTATCCTATCACTTTCATTATTTAACATGTTTCTTATAAAAGATAGGAGACATCTAACATATTTCGTAATAAAAGTAGTAAGATGGATAATATTAAATACCTGAAAAACTTTAGTTTTATCGAAATCGAGTATAAAATATTGACTATTCGATAAAAAAAAATTTGACCTCTAGATCTCCTCTGTGCTTCTGCCTGCAAGAAAAGAAACAAAATTATCATCGTAATATGTATTTTTTTAAACGATATAACTTTCATAAATAACATTTTTGCGTATTGTTCGAAATACCAATGATATTGGGGTGGGTAAAATTCGCGAGACGTACTATATTTTCTGATTCAGTATGAAAATGTTTAAACATTTCGTAGAGCGAATAATAGAAGAGTGAATATATTTTCGTAATAGTAACAACATACGTATTTCGTAAAACGTACCAAAAAAGAAAAGGCCGCCAAAGTAATTGGCTCGGGGCCTCGATAAATTCAGATCCGTTACTGGCTTGATAGTATGTGTACGGTTTATTGCACGCTCTCGCGAAAAGGAATGAGAATCGTTTAACGGGAAAAAGAAAAAGATCGGCGGGAAATAAGGAAAAGTGGGCGTTCGATGTACACTCTGACACAAATCCGCGGAAATGTTGCCCTTCGTGGTGCATCGTCCATGATGGTTTAAACGTATTGCAATTGTGCCCGAGAGATCTATTTCGAACACGACGTAGCAAGTTTTCTCAGTGACCTAGTGGCGTGAATAGAACTCGTTGTCAAGCACGTCCTTTCGAAACTGTCTAGCGAAAACTTGGACAGACACGAGGTCTAGTTTTCTTCAGCTACTAGGTCGTTGCGCTTAATCATTAAAATGGACGCGTGAAATAACGC